CCGTAGCGCAGGACGGTGCGAGTGCACCTCCTCAAGGCCTGACGCCGCTAATCCACTTCCTCTCTTCCTCTCCCCACGATGGGGACACACTTGGCGACAGTTCCAACTGGGGTAAGAGAGCCACCAAAATGTCGCTGGCATGGGCACTCCAGGGACACCAAAGTGGAGTCTGGCATACCCTGCAAACACCTCGGCTTGTGCGGGGAGCATTCCTCCTTGAAATGCTCATCCACTTCTGGTTACAGCAATCTTTGAGGGCAGGGAAGGTGGCCAGCAGAAGGCACTGTGGAGCAAGCACGTGGGCCTCGGAATCCAAGCCTGGGTTCAAATCCGGGCTGTGGGACGTCCTCACCAAGTCTCGAATTCCTCCTGTAAATGAGGGATGCTGGCGCCTCTCTCGCGTGGGGAAATAGGGCTTCCAGCACTGCTCCCAGCAGATCTCAGACCTCAGGACGTGAAGGTTATTTTAGGGACAAGTTAACCACGGAGTCTATTTAGTGTAACAGCAACAGCTGCTAAAAACGTGCACATACGTTCCTTGTTCAGCCTGAGTATCCCTTATCCCAAATGCCTGGGACCAGAAGTGTTTTGGTGGCCGGGCGCGGGGGCTCACGCCTGTAATCCCAGCACTTTGGGAGGTCGAGGCGGGAGGATCACGAGGTTAGGAGATCGAGACCATCCTGGATAACACGGTGAAACCCCGTCTCCACTAAAAATACAAAAAAATTAGCCGGGCGTGGTGGCGGCGCCTGTAGTCTCAGCTACTCGGGAGGCTGAGGCAGGAGAACGGCGTGAACCCGGGAGGCGGAGCTTGCAGTGAGCCGAGATAGAGCCACTGCACTCCAGCCTGGGCGACAGAGCGAGACTCCGTCTCAAAAAAAAAAAAAAAAAAAAAAGGGGGGGGGGCTTTGGCCTTTTCTTGGATTTGGGAATATTTGTACCGTAGTTAGCAGCTGAGCCTCCCAAATTCCCACATCCGAAGTCCGAGGTGTTCCAATGACTATTTCCTGTGCGCGGCACGTCGGCTGCTCCAAAGGCTTGAGTTTAAGGTGTTTGGATTTGGGATCCCCAGCCCGTAGTGCTGAGGAGAAAATTTCTGTCTCTTCTATTTTTCTTGCACTTCCCAAATTTCTTCAAAGAGTATGAATAAATGCTATTGGGAAAAAGAAACCTGTTTAACACTGTGATCTTTAAAGGCTTGACCGGCGGCTCCCGCGCTTGGGGCACTGCTTAGACCCAGCCCGCGGAGCGCAGCGCGAATCGGAAGCGCGGCCCCGCCCCCCGCAAGCCCCGCCCCGCAAGCCCCGCCCCCACAAGCCCCGCCCCGTGCCGAGGGCATTTCCGGGCGCTCTAGGCAGCTCGGAGGACCCGTTCAGAGGACCGACGGGGGACCCGGCGCGAACCCAAGGGTGGCGGGTCGGGGGCGGGCGCGTGCCTGGCGTTGCTCGCGCGGCTGGGGGCCGGAGGGGTCTTGAGGCTGTGATCCAGCATGGGGCCGCGTTGTGGAGCGAGAGAGGGGGCGTCACGGAGGCAGGGGGCGCCTGGCAGAGCGCGTCTGCCAGAGGCCCAGAGGGCCCAGAGGCCGAGCTGGGCCCTGCAGGTCGGAGGTGCAGGACCCAATTCTGGCCCAAGCAGGGGCGTCCCACGGCTCAAACTGCCCGTCCAGGTGGTGTCTGAGGAGGGCCTGGACCGCGGCCTGTGCAGAGGGCTGGCCAGCAGCTTCTGCTTTGAGGGCTTGGAGGAGAACAGATTCCCGAATCTGGCCCATGATCAATGCATTTGGGTATCTGAACTAAATCCAGATTCCCTGACTTCCCCTGAGGCCTGCTGAATCCCTTGGGGTGGGCCTGAGAATCCGCGTTTTCCAGCGGGCTTCTCAGGTAGTTGGGTGGTCCCTGAGAGGGTTCCCATGACCCCATGAAACAAGACCCTAGAAAACGCAAGGCAAAGCGGCCTGGTGAGTGGCCGGTGGTCCACAGGAACTGGATGTGATCAGAGCGAGACCTCCATCAACCAGGCAGGCGAGGCGTGGAGCCATTCTGAGGAAGATACCCAGCCGGAACCCAGGAAGGAGTGGGCTGTGAAAACTGGGCAGAAACGTGCGGCGACTCCAAAGACACTGCCAGGAAACCCTCCCCGGGTGGGGAGGCCCCTGATGGGGCCTGTAGCAGCCGCAGGGGTCGGTTCTCACCCTCTGGTCCCAGCCAGGTTCTCCTGGACTCAGCTAATGGGCAAGGCCTTATCCCTTTTAGGATCTGAGGATGGGAGGGGCTGCGTTTCCCCAGCGGATCTGCACATGTGCAGGCTGAGTGTTGAGATCCCTTGATTGGTGTCAACTGGCACTGCCTGCCGGTGATGCACAGAAGCTGTTGTAAGAAACAGGGTCCACGTCTCCAGGGAGAAGGCCCCCGTTCTGAGGCCACAACCCCGAGGGCAGTCTCCGCCTGCAGAATCCTCCCTCTCGCACCTCATTCACCTCGTGGTGAATCCCTTGGCTATGGTTTGGTGTGAGACAAGAGACGGGTGTTTCACTCCCTGCTGCATCCCTGGTGACGGCCCTGGCATTTCGGGGCTTGAGATCTTTGCTTAAAGGTTTTGCTGTGGTCACCGCACAGGGGGTGGGGGTGGGGCCCCTTGGTGCAATTTATCGGATTCTGGTTCGTGGATGACATCCACAGGGTTCCTCTTCAGTGGGGATTATCTGAGACCTCTCCACATGCCCGCATCCACAGTCCGCTACCTCACGGCAGCATGAACTCAGGAGGTGGGCGTTCCCACAGTCATTACATTTGCAGGGCCTCTCCATGTCCATTTTGATGCCTGAGGACCAGTGCTTCCACGAAGGTGTGGCCACGTCCGTTGCCGCTCATTGGCTTCTCTCCTGTGAGAATGTTCTGATCCCCAGCGGAGCCTGAGCATGTGCAAAGCCCTTCCCACGTTCACAAGGTGCTTCTCCAGGGTTCCATTACATCTCACCTATGCACACTACGTGCATACGGTTTCCACCAGTTGTGCGTGTCCCCGGAAGTCATATTCACGGCGTTTCTCTCTGGGAGGAATTCTCCCGTGCATGGCTGCTCTGAGCTCTGGGACAGTTTGCACCCGCGGCCACGCGTGGGCTCCTGGAGACTTACAAACCAGGCTGGACTCCTGAAGCCCTGGCTGCACTTGACCACTGCCAGGTTTTTCTACAAAATCTCATCTCAGCCATCTGAGCCCTTTAGCATTTATCTTATGAATCCGCTCGAACGTACAAGGCCTCTCTGCCCTCCTGCTCCAGGCAGGAGGTTTTGACCCTCAGCTCCACCTCTGTGGCTGGCCTGGTCTCCGCAAACCTTTTTCTGCTTGGCCAGCTGGAGCCATGCTAGGCTTTCCCACTAGGGGCGCCAGAGAAAGCGCTCGAGGCTGGCGAGGAGGGAGGGGCACACTCCTTCCGGTTTGCTTCCGGTTTTTCCTCAGACTTCCGGTCTGTTTGCTTCCCTGGTTGCTTGTCTTGCGAACTCTGTTGCTTCGCCCTGGCGGGAGCACTTCCCTCCGCGGCTGCTAAAACCGGGGAGCGGGTCCCAACTTCGCAGAAGCAGCTTCATCACCCCCCCGCTGGAGGACCTCAGACCGCAGCCAGCGACGCCCCGCCTCGGGGGTCTGGCCCCACTCTCGGGGCCAGATCAGGGACCAGAGACCTGCGAAGCCCTCTCCTTAGGGGTTTAGTTCCCAGGCTTTCTGATCCCAATAATTCCACACTCTTCTCTTTGTGTCCACAACCCTAGTGTAGCAGCTGCTCTCTGCAGTTTTTGCTTCTGAGATACTTAAGAGTTCTCTTTTCAGCTCCTTCGGTAGCCACTTCGTACATAGTAATTCATGATGCGAAATCCTCTCTGTTGAAATAACTGGCGAGGCCTCTGTCTTCTGACTGAACCCTGACTTCCATGCTCTTTCCACCCTCACCCGAGTACATGCCCAATCCCCAATCTGTGGTGCTCCAGGCATTGCCTCTGTGGCGCTGTGTCCCCTCCTTTGAACTCTGATCCTTCTGCTCAGGCCCTTTCTCCCAGTCTGAAATAAGGAGCGAATAAATGTGAGTTGCTCTAGACATCTGGAAAAGAGAACCCTGAGGCAGTAACAAGTCGTTAATTGCGTGCACATTTGTCCACAGCTCACCATGAGTCAGACCCTGTGCTGGGTGCTGGGATGAAGCAGTGACTGACACAGGTCTGGACCTGTCCTTGTGAAGAGTGCGTCTGTGACACTGTGCCATGTGGCAAAGTAAGCACGTGGGACAGCAGAGCCTTGTTTGCGATTAAAGTAATATCACAAGTCTGTTAAGCTTAGAAAATCAAGTGAACATGCTGAAAAGTTACGGGGAAGGTAGTCTCTTAGCTGGGGGCGCTGGGAGCCTTGTCAGTTGGTTCCCCCAGTCTGGAGAGCAATCTGAGAGCAAGTAGTGGCACTGTGTGTGCTGAGTGTGTCTGTGGGGGTGTTTTTGGATAAAATTAACATTTGAATTTGTGAACTGAGTGACGCAGAGTGCCCTTCATAATGTGGGTGGGCCTCATTCAATGAGTTCAAGGCGGGAATCTCCTCCTGCCTGACTGAACCGGGACCTAGGTCTTTTCCTGCCTTCAGACTTGAATGGAAACATCAGCTCTTTGTGCGTCTCAAGCCTGCTGGCTTTCAGACGGGGACTCACACCATCAGCTCCTCTGCTTGACAGCTGCAGGTCTTGGGACTGCCCAGCCCCCATAACCCTGTGAGTGCATTCCTGATAATAACCCTCTTTCTCTTGCCCTCCCCCACCCCACACCATTGGTTGTTTCTCTGGAGAACCCTAACGCATCATTTACTAATCAGGAAACAGATTCAGAGATTAACAACTCATCCAACCTCACAGTTAACTGTAGAATTGGGCTTGAAATTCCAAGGTCGACTTCCTTAGCCAATACCCCATGCTACATATATGTATGTAAAAATAAAAAGCCTTGTGAACTGAAAAGGGTCCAAACTTAAGCTCATTTTGGTCCTTTATTTGCTAATCCATGGGCATGCACACCTGCCCCCAAGGCCACGATTAGGTCAGCACTTGGCTCTCCGCTTGTCTGGGGCCGCAGGAAGCTGCCTCAGAAGACCTCTTCCTGCGAGTCCAGTGCTTTAGGGTTCAGAGCCTCTCCAGGGCCTTTAGTTCCTTCTGGGCTCAAAAACAGATACTGTGCCAGATACAGATGATCATTTCCTGGGTTCCAAAACTCACATGCACCCCTTTTCCTGGTCCCTCACATTTGCTGTGACCAACCCAGGCCTCAGGTGGTCCTCTGCTAAGACTATCCACTCACACTGTCGACAGAGCCCTTCCAGGAGCTCTTTTTATGGGGATTTGCTGCGTGCCTGGCACTGTGCAGAGAACCCCACCCATGCCGTCCTTCCAACCACCATGTGCGGTGCCGACCCGGCTGCGCTTCCTCCATCGTCAGAGGCAGAAACGAGCTCCGTGAGGAAGGATAAGTGTGGGGTATGGAATCAGGGCTGGCGGATCCCAAACCTGGGCTCCCGGATACCATCGGGTCTTTAGGAAGATCCCCGGTCACTTCCGGGAGGAGGGAGAGGGCGAAGGCTGAGAATCGAGGTCCTGGGTCGGAGGAGGGAGAGGAGTGGTGGTGTGGGTTTGGAGGTGGTGTGGGTTGGAGATTGGCCGTTGAGCTGGAGATGCTCCCGGTGGTCTGCGTCCAGGTTCCTCTCGGGGGCAGAGCTGGTAGGGGTGGGACAGGGCTCCGAACCAGCCCCGGGGGCGGCCGCCCGGACAAGCGGCTCGAGTGATGCAAATCGAAGGAGGATGGGGAGGGCTGTGACCAAGAGGCCGAGCACAGCTCAGGGTCGCAGGCGTCCCAGGAGGGCTCAGGAATATTATGTCCTGTTCAACTACACGCTGATATACCCGGCAGCCACCCCAAGGTAGAAAAATGCCCTTAAAAGTCCTGCCGGGCCGCTCTGGGGTTCCCGGGAAATGTCGAGTGGATCAGATGGCACGTTCGAGAATCAGCCCCGTGCCCGCGGGCTTGGAGAAGGAGCTGAGGACACTGGGAAAGACGCAAATGCCATTTCAGCCCATCTCGCGGGCCCTGCCCAACGAGGGGGTACGCAGAGAGCTTGCAGAGGGTTTACGACCCGGCGCGGAGGAGCAGCCCTGCCGGACTCCCCGCGCCGCACTCCCTTCCCCTGGGAAGCCTCCCGTGAGCTGGCGCTGCTCGAGTCTCGTGCGGGCTGCGGAGAGTGCACCTGGCCCCGCCCCTCCCCGCCCCTCCCGGCGCCGCGGCCACTTCCGGGACTGTCTAGGACGGCGTGGAGGACCGCCGGGCTCTCTCCGGTCGCAGCGAGCGGGAGTCCAGCGGGGGAGTCAGGGACGCGCGGGGCGGTCCCTGCAGAGCCAGCCCCTCGGCCTGGCTGCCCACGCGTGTTACTGAACAAGCAGAATGCAGGCGTTCTCACCCTTACCTTTCAGGCCGACAGTCTGAACCCAAGGGCCACCGCACACCAGCACGGACGCCTCAAGTAGGCGCCTGCCTCCCAGCTGACTTCGGACAGACACACTGACCTCCAGCCCGCACCCCTAAACTCGTTCTCACCCGGCGGAGTGGGGCGTCCACAGGGCCCCCAGGGCATGGCCTGGAGAGGGAGGCGGGGGCTGGCGGAGCCTGGGGCCGCCTTCCCCAAGGGGTGGCACAGGGCCCTGTGCTGCGGGCTCCCAGTCCGGGCAGCCGCGTTCCCCGGGCTTCCGACGAGGTCCCGCTGTCTCAGCAGGGGTCTGGGTGGATGGCTGGTCAGGGAGCTCGGATTCATCTGGTGCCGTCACTGATCGTGTGACCTCGAGCAAGCCACGGGTCACCTCGGAGCCTCCGGGTTCTTCTCCGGAAAAATGGCTTGCTGGGGCTGACATCAGATGCGCACTGCGCAGGCCTCCGCAGGCACCGCCAAAAAGCGGGCACGGTAGCCTTCGTCTTCGACAGGACAGTGACCTCACAGGCCCGCCACAGACACATCTGGGGACCAGACCCGGGGTTCTGGACGAGTCACAGCAGGAGGGGAGGTGAGACCTGGAGAGGGGCAGCCTCGGAGGAGCCAGGCTGGACTCCGGGGTCTGCCAGCTGTACCAGAGGGCACAGACAGGGCAGGGAGAAGGCGCTGGCAGAATCACTGGCACTCAGCACTTGAGGCCACCCCCAGCTGAGCTCTCTCAGAACTTCGTGGCCCAGACTCCCCTGCCCAGAAGCAGTGTCCCGGCAGCTCTGAAAAGGGCCTGGCAGGCCCAGCTGTACCAGCCCACACCTGTCAAGACCTGAACACCCTGGGCCCCCACATCCCAGGGCAAGGGGCTGATGCAGAGGAGGCCCGGGCCACTGCTGCCCAGCAGGCTCCCCGCTGAATGGAGGCAGCAGAGCTGAGAGGGCACGTGGGGAAGAGTCTGCGGCACTGGACAGAAGCAGAGGCTTCCCAAATACATAAGCGAACCGAATTCCTGGACACCCCTCGCCCAGGTGGCAGGCAGCCTGGCCAGGCCTGTGGGCACTTCTAGAGCGGCCCTGTCCTCACCTCCTGCTCTGGGCGCGCCCCCCGCGTTGATGGTGGGGTATCAGCGTCAGAAAAGCCTGACTACTTCCGGGCTCTGGGCAAGTCAGGACACCTCCAGGCCTCAGATCCTCCCCTAGGACACTCGGGCCGCCCGCCAGGCTCCAGGGACCCCGTGGCCCTGCGTGGCAGGTCTTGGTGAAGCAGCCCCGTCAACCCCATCCTGCAGCGGGTCCTCGGGGATGGGAAGCTGCCCCAAGGCCTCACCCAGGCAGGTGCCGGCTCCCACTTCCAACAATCAAAAAGAATTTATTCCGGACACATGGCATGCGGTGCTGGGCAATGCTCACCGTGGGGGCAGGCAGGAGGCCTCGCCCCGAGCCCCCGCCGGGCTACTCGCGGTAGTGCACCCGCTGGTGCTGGATGAGCTGGGAGCTCTGGCCGAAGGCCTTGCCGCAGGCGCCGCACGCGAAGGGCTTCTCACCCGTGTGGGTCCGCAGGTGCCGAAAGAAGTGCGAGCGGCCGCGGAAGGCCTTGCCGCAGTCGGCGCACTCGTAGGGCTTCTCGCCAGTGTGGATGCGCTGGTGCTCGATGAGCACGGAGCTCCAGATAAAGGCCTTGCCGCACTGGCTGCAGGCGTAGGGCTTCTCGCCCGTGTGCAGCCGCTGGTGGCGCACCAGGTTGGAGCTCTGGCTGAAGGCCTGGCCGCACTCGCCGCACTTGTAGGGCTTCTCGCCGTTGTGGATGCGCAGGTGCTGCGTGAAGTGCGAGCTGTGGCTGAAGGCGCGGCCGCACTGGCCGCACTCGTAGGGCTTCTCGCCCGTGTGGATGCGGTGGTGCTGGATGAAGCCTGACCAGCCGCGGAAGCGCTTGCCGCACTCGTGGCAGGCGTAGGGCTTCTCGCCCGTGTGGATGCGCTGGTGCTTCAGCAGCAGCGAGTTGTACTTGAAGCTCTTGCCGCAGGACTCGCACCTGTGCGGCTTGGCCCCCCGCGCGCTGCCCTGCCGGCTCCGACCGAAGTTGACTCCCAGCTCGGCGGCTCGCTCGGGCGCGCCCTCGGGCCCGGCCGCTGCTTGCGGCACGAGCGTCACGCGCCAAGCGCCCCGCGGCTGGGCGCAGGGGACGGCCCCAGGCGGCTGGCCCGCCGGCCGCTCCGCGCTGGACTCGGGCCCGAAGCCAGCGCCGCACCGGGCCCTGCGGGGAAGGCTCCTCAGGAGGCTGCGCAGCGCCCCGCCCGCCCCCTCGTCAGGGGCCTGAGAGCCGGGAGAGCGTGGAGCCTGCTCCGGCTCGGGCTCGGAGTCTGAAATGAGAAACGGCAGAGGCGGATAGTACCCGCGTGCCCCCACCGTGACACGGAGGGACGGGGAGGGGATAAGAGCACAGCTGGACAGGGGTGCTCAGAGGGGACGAGGAGGGGCCAGGCACCCAGTGGATGGGAGACAAGCGGACAGGGGCTCCAGGTGCCGTGCCCGGAAGGGCTGTCATAGGCACAGGGGTGGGGGGCGTTGCAGGGTGACCCAGAGCTGCTGGGACCATTACAGTCACCACAGCAGCTGTGCCAGGGCACGGAGCCACGGTGGCAAGACAGACCGTAGCCAGGAGAAAGCACTCAGTGCTGGTGAGGACCCAGAACCTGGGGGACTCCAAAGCTCCAGACGGCGCTCTCAAGCCCTGGCCGAGGATGTGGTCTGTATGGGCACAGCTCCTCATGGGGCTGCATCAGGCCTCGGTGGCAAGTGCCCTGCCGCCCAGCTCCCATGCCCACCCCAGGAGCTTCCCACGCAAATCTCTGGCCCAGGGTCTCCTCCCAGGGACCTGACCTCAGACACCTGCTCCCCACCCCAGGGCCACCCAGGTGTGGGCGAGGGCTCAGCACTGTTAAATCCAGCCTATCACTAACATCGCCTGGAAGGAACCCAGGCGGCTTCTCAAGGGGGAGGTGCAGGGGACCTGGATTGACACAGCTCCAGTCAGGCTGAGGGGAGGCCATCTAGGGGATGCAGTAGGAGGGGACCCAGGATAACTCTGGTGGATCTGGGGGGACAGTGGTGCTCTGAGCCAGAGGCCCCAGCCTGAGGCAGGTGGAGGGGAGGGAGGAGTTCCTGCTTCACTACGTCCGGCTGGGGCTGGCAGGAGTCCACGTGGTGCCACTGGGGCAGGTGGCAATGGGCTGCAGTCACCGCCTCGGGAAGCATCAGTGACTGGACTGGCATTAGAATGGGGGAGGGGCCACAGGGCAGAGCTGAGCTGGTGCCAGGGAAGAGAAGGGGCCCCAGGAAGGGGGTGGTGCCAGCATTGGGGGAGCCACAGCGGTGGGCATTGTGAGGAGCCTGGCACGCACAGAGCTCTGGTCACCTAGTAACCCAGTTCTGCTCACTCACCGGGCCAGAAGGTGTTTCTGCCGATCTCCACCTCCTCTATGTCCTGGAGATCCAGCTCAGACGGCCGGGACAACACCTCAGGGCTGGAGCTCGGGGAGCCTGGGGGGCAGGGAGGCTGGGGCTCACCTCCACCCTCCGGACCGCTGCCCCTGCTCCTCTCTGACTGCCACGTGCTCCTGGGCTGTGGCCCTGACACAGGATACCTCCTGGCCCTCCCAATCCCAGTAGCAGGCCTGCTGCTCGGGCTTCTCTAGCCACGAACGCCCTTTACCTTCCTTCCCAGCTGGGTTCAAGAGCCTCCTCCTCCAGGGACCAGCATTGGGAGCTCATCCCCTTCAGCCCAGTAAGCAGAGCCAAAACCTGGGGTAGCTTCGAAGTGGTCCTCCTGCTGCTGAAGGCGGCTTTGTCACCTTGGCTGGCTGTGGCCAGCCCTCCTCCCTGCCCCGCTGTCCTGCAGTGCTGCTCTGGAGTGGCCTCTCAAAGTGCTGGCCCTGCAGGCTCCCACACAGGTACCTCACAAAGCCTCCCTCCCTCGGCCCCAGGCCTTTCTGTCCCTCCAGGGCTCTCCGATGTACCTGATGAGCACCCAGAAACAGCAGAGGTAGCTGTTCCCAGCAGGCCCAGTGTACGGGCCCCCTGCTTCCTCAGGCAGAGACTGAGGAATGGGCTGGGCCCATCCATGAGCCCCTCGCCCCTGGGCACACCAGGCTTGGGCACCCAGGACCAAGACCCCCTCCTTCTACCCAAGACTTGGTGGGGGCAGGGTGGGGGGATGGCCTTAACACTCAAGGAGCAGATGCAAGAGGGAGGGGCGCGGGCTCTGCTGCCCAAGGCCAGTAGTCAGCTCTCCTCACACTGGCAGGGGCACCAGGCCCCTTTGGGGGTCTCACCTACCCTCTGCCCACGGCAGGTAGGGTGGCTGGGGGCTGTACTCAAGGACAGGGGTGTCTCTTTGCCCCACAAGGCCGAGTCTGGGTGCCCCCAGCGATGACAATGCAGTGATGGACACAGAAAGACGCAGGGCTGGGGTGGGCAGAGGCTCCTGTCCACACCATGTTAATAACACAGTGCCTGGCTGTGAGCCTTTCATGGGACTTTCCAGCCTCAGGCAGGCCTGCCCCGGCTGCAGTGGGGTGACCAGCTTGGCCCACCACGGAGGGCGGACCCCCCCAGCCTGGCCAGCCACTCAATCACCCGACACGCCCACCCACCCTCAGGTCGGCCCCTGGGAGACCTTCCGAGCCCAGGCTGAGGAGTGAGGGCAGACCTGACATGAAGGGCTGGGAAGTTCAGCAGGTGGGGGCGGCTGTGCGACGTCCCTTCCTCGGGAGCCGAGGGTCCAACTGCTTGGCTGCCCCGAAGCAGGATGTGGGGGGGTCCCAAACCACCTCTAGGCCTTTCAGATACGCTCCCCAACGTGGGGACAGGCCTGGGGGCACTGGTCTCTCTGGGCTGTGACCCTCACCCCCAGCTCGTGGCCACCATGTCACCATCCCCTGGCAGCCAGGGGAGCTGGCTTGTTCTATAGATGGCCAAATGCAGGGCAGGCTCCAGCGCCGTGCTCCCGCGGAGGGGGCGGTGAGGGCATCACCTCTCTTGAGACAGCCTTGCCACCTTTGCCCTGCACTGGGATGCCAGTGGAGGGGACCTGGCAGCACTTTGAGAAAGAAAGTGACCCCTATTCCAGCTTTGTTCCTGGGGCCACGCCCCGGCACTGACAGGCGGGATGTTCCCCAGGCTGTCACTTTAAGAGGACCAGTGACATTACCAAGATAGGAGGCACGCCAAAGCTGCTGCCAGCTGTACGGGTGCCCAGCGACACCCTCAGTGTCAAATGATGCCAGGTGGTGTGCACTGTCTCCACCCTGCTGCGGAACAAGCGGACTCAGGATGGGCCCCAGCTCCCTGGGAACCCGCCCCATTCATGTAGCAAAGCACTTCCTAGGACCTTCTCTAGAGGAGGATGGGGGTGGCCTAGGGTCAGGGGCGGGCCGCACACAGTATGGGTCACTGTCACTCCACTGCCTAACCCTGGCTCCTGACACTTGCCCACATTCGGGCCATTTCTGCAAAGCTCAGTCACCTGCCACCTGCTGGCTGTGCCCGGGCCGTGCCAGGTCTCTGCAGGGTGGACACCCAGACCCTGCTCCCGACCCCACTGGCTCTGTGCAGAAGTACCCCCGCCTCAGTTTCCCTGACCCCTCCCCCAGCCAGTGCCCCCCCACTGCTGTGCTGGGACAGGCACAGGGTGGCCCGAAGTGCAGAAACACCAGGGCTGCCACCTGCTGGGGCTGGTCTTCCAGGTGGAGGCGAGGTGGCCGTGCGCGGCTGGGGACAGGTGGAGGTGGGTGCTTTCCTGGCCGGAGGGGCCTTTCTTTGTGTATAAAATGGCACAGCAAGTGCTGTGTGCCTGGGCCCGGACCAGGTGAGTTAGGCGCTGGGGGGTGGTCAGTGGGCACCTAGAGTCTAGATCTCAGGTGCCAGGGCCAGGCACTCCATGCGGAAAGATGCTTTGCCTGTCGTGGGGTGCCGCTGCCCTGCCCATGGGGTCCTCCCCACCAGCCTGGGCACTCAGTAACCCCCACAGGACTGCAAGCCCCCGAGGGTCCTGGGCTTCCCCTCCCTCACTTCCTCCTGCCCACAGACTTCCCCTCCACCTGCAGGACCCCTGGGCAAACCTTCCAGAACCGGTGCAGGCAGTGCTGGCTCTGGTGGGCGTGCCGTTGGGGCACAACACAATCCCTCAGGAGCTGAGTACCCTCAGTCCCCCAAGCCCAGCCCAGCTCCTGATCTGCGTGTCTGTGGGGACCACGGAGGTCCTCGGAAATGAGGAACTGTGTCCTGTTCCCACCTGCCTGGTCTCCCTGCTCTGCAAGGCCTGGGCTAGGCCATGGCCCCAAGCCCTTTGCTGTGGGACCCCAGCTTCATGTCTGCAGGAACCACCGCAGAGAACCTTCCCCGGCCGCTCCCCATGCCCCTCACTACCCTCCCCACTGATAAACAGCTCCTCCTCAGGATCTCCTCTGCTCCCCAACACCTCATAGCTCAGGGCTCAGCATGCCCAGCCAGGCACCCACCAGAGGTTCCTGAGGTGACCACGTGTGCCTGGGGTGGGCCCCGGGAACCTTGGTCTGGCCCAGTGCAGTCTGGGAGTTGGGAGGCTGCGGCTCCAAGTCCTGGCTTGGCCCCTAACTGGCAGGACAGCCCTGGACAATTTCTGGAAACCCCGAGGCCTCCTCTGCCTAGGAATCTGTGGCCCCAGGGCGTTCCCAAGGAGATAGGACGCTGGAAACGCCCGGAAGCAGCCCCTGCCTTCACCCAGCGCTTGGAAGTTGTGACAGAGGCCGCCTGTTGCTGTGGCCTGGCCCCGTTCGCTCTACACCAGGCCTATCAGCATGAAGAGGGGATGAAGGCCACCCCCTTATCTGGCTCTGGCTACCTGCCCCCAGGCCCCACTGTGCCTCAGCCACAATCTCCTCCTGCCACAATCTCTTGCTGGGGGGAAGCAGCCACACCTGCCGTTCTCAGGGCCGAGCTGGTCTGTCCTCCCTGGATGCCGTTTCTGGTACAGCAGGGAGAGCGCAGAAGCTGCTGGTGCAGCCCCCACTCCCTCCCATGGGGCAAAACTTCTGGGGATTTCAGGGCACTCAGACATGGCTTCAGTGCCCAGGAGGCTTCCAGGCCTATGGGGCTGGGGACTCATGCCTGGTTTTCTGGGCCTGACTGCCCACGGCTGGTGGAGACAGGGCTGGGGGTAGTGCAACCCTGCAGGCTCAGGGGGCCCAGCCTGAGGCCCCTCCATGCTCCCCAGGCCCACCCTCTGCCTGGACATCAGCTTCGTATCCTGCAGAACCTGGCCTGCAGCCCCCTCAGCCTGTGTCCTGTGCTAAGATGATCTGCTGGGCTGTGCCCTCCCCAAGAAGACTATCCCGCTGGAGAAGTCACACCTCACCAGGCCTGGGGCGGGGGCGGGAGTGCCGGGGCATGCCCTGAGTCTGCTGGCCTCCTGGCCTTGTCTCTGGGCTTCCGTGTCCCCACTGGTAACAGGACAGGAGGACGTCCCTCAGTCGTTGTACAGGTGACATGAGAGGGCAAGGGCGGGCCCTGAGATTTTGACTGAATAAGGGGTGAGGAGCACGGCCCTCAGGGGCATTGGCTGCAGGCCCAGCCACAGTGTGTGCTTGGGGCTTGGGATCCTTCCAGGTAGCCCCTGGCCAGGCCCACCAGGACAGGCAGCCCAGGCAGCCCACGGGCGCCCCTTCCCAGCCTCCTCACAGTCCCTGGGGAGTTGCTTGGGACACAGCAGTGGAGATGGCAGGGCTGCAGGCTCCTGCTCCTCGGGGGAGTGGATGCCAAGCCGCCTGGCTCCCTGCTCCTCTAACCCACCCTGGTCCTGGCTCGTTGGGGAAGCCCCTGGCCTCTCTGTCCCCATCTGAGTGCCCACCTGACGGCCCCATGCAGTGCAGCTGCTCTCCACAAGCCTCAGTGGTCCCTTCAGCCACCAGGATGCTGACTCCCCAAGAGGGAGAACCCTGTGCCAGGTCGCCCCATTCCTGGGCCAGACACAGGCTCTCCAGGCTTGATCTATGTGGGGCCTTGCCCCTGCTGTCAGCAGCTCATGTGCTGGGTTGGGCCACGAGGGCCGTGAGGCCAGGCCTCCTGTGGAACATCCAGCAGAGATGGAGCCTCAGGATCCCTGACCTCTGAGAGGGAGCAGAGCCTGGGGCACCATGGGGCTGGGACTCCCCCACACCTCAACTCCCAGGGCCTGCCATGTGACCACGAGGCCATACCATCAGAGGTGGAGCAAGGCCGGCCCTCTGTCCCTGCGGGTCCAGGGAACCACACCCAAACCAGCTTGGCAAGGACTCTGGCTGCTGCACTTCCTGAATGACAACACTCAGAGGGGCGATGCCTTGCTCCTGGTCTTCCTGAATGACAACAAACAGAGGGGCCACGCCTTGCTCCTGGTCACACTGGACGCAGATTTTGAGGCCACTTTCCCTCCTATACCGCAACTCCGGAAAGAATGCAGGGAACCATCCCTAGGGAGCCAAAGCTCAGGCTGGCCCCAGCCTCAACCACTGCTCTCCCAACCCAACCCACGCCCAGCCCCTGGCCTGAGGGTGCGGGAACCCCAGCTGCTGAAGGCGCTGCATACAGGTGTCTGGAGGTGCCTCAGTCAGCCAGGGTGGCAGGTCAGGAGGAGACGGGGCAGGGGACATGAGGGCAGGGGATGCTGGGTGGAGGGTACACAGCAGGCTGGGTGAGTACCATGTTGATGCCCATGGAGGTGAAGCTGAGGCTCGTGGTGCTGGGCTCCAGGTGTCCCCGGTGATGAGAGACTGACAGGGGAGGGGACAGAAGGGGACTTCTGAACGTCCCCTAGGGCTGCCATCTTCCCTGAGACCTGCTGAAGGTGTCACACCTGGGACCTGGGGAAAATGAAAATCATGGCAGATGAGGGGATTGAAAGGAATGTGGGGGGATGGTGCAGGAGGAGGCAACATGCCAGCTCCCCAAGGGGAGATGGAGATTTATCCACTCCAGGAGGAGCAAGGATGGTGGGCGAACCCACAGGGACACATAACGCCTGAGGTGAAGTGGTCAGGGGACCTAGCACGTTTATTCAGTAAGGATTAACGCTTTGAGTGGCTGGGTGTGGTAGCTCACGCCTGTCATCCCAGCACTTTGGGAGGCCGAGGCGGGTAGATCACCAGGTCAGGCGTTTGAGACCAGCCTGGCCAATATGGCAAAACCCCGTCTCTACTAAAAATACAAAAATTAGCTGGGTGCAGTGGTGGGCACCTGTAATCCCAGCTACTTGGGAGGCTGAAGCAGGAGAATCACTTGAACCCGTGAGGCGGAGTGAGCTGAGGTCAGCCACTGTACTCCAGCCTGGGCAAGAGAGCAAGACTGTCTCAAACAACAACAAAAGGAGTAATGCTTTGGAAGGAGCGCTTAGGAAGTAGCCACCACCTGGGCAGCACAGCAGACACCTGTGGGGGCTGAAGCAAAGCTCCTGTCCCAGCGGAGGCTCTGGCATTTCCTTCCAACCCATGGCATCATCCCTCCCCCAGAGAAAGGCATAGAGAGTCTTCCAGAAAAACCTCAGCTGCTGGCCCTGTGGGAAGGCTGAAAACCGAACCATGCTTGCTGGTGCACGAGTGTTTTGGAGGAAATCTTAACAAGGCTTTTCCTGAACAGCAAAAGACAGGCATTCCAGAGAGGAGAACCCTCTTCCTCAGACCCTACAGAGCTGTCAGAGGCTGCAGGCTGGAATCTCCTAGTCCAGCCCTTCCGCAGCGCTGGGAGACTCACTCAGGGCTCCAAGATACTTCTTTGTTTGCTTTGCAAAAATGGTATGAGTCCAATGTGAGAAGTGACTTTTCTTTCATACTGTGATAGAGTAGGAAATCCTAATCTGGGGCAGGGAGTGAAGAAAGGAACGGGAAAAATAGACAAAAGTTAACGGAGACTCAGATATAAGGACAGCAGTGCCTACTTCGAGGAAGTAGGAGAGGCAGCTCCCACACGGCCGCCACCCCAGTGCCCGGCCTTCTGGGCCAGCCTCCATCCACTAATGATGGGAAGGGTCGGGTCGCCAGGTAGGTGGCCACTGGGTGCAGGTCCTCCACCTTAAAGTCACATCTCAAGTTACTTAGTCAACTTACTGGGGACATCTGGTAAAAGGGCCTACTCGTTCACCCCGACCCTGGCGTGGCCCCCAGGATTGAGCGGAGGCGGCCGTCACAGGGTGGGACGCCCCTTCACCCTCAGGGACGCACAAACTCTTGAGCGCCAGGCTGAAGGGGGAGGGGCACTCCTGCCAGTGGCTCGGGGGAAGCATCCTCTGCCCCTCTGTTACCAGCCCCGTGGGAGCGGACCCGATCGCCGGGAGCTCGGCACAGAGAGCATCTGCCCGGCGGTGCGGCGCTGGGGTCCGGCGGCTCCACGCCCCCGAGCGGCGGGACCTCCGGGCCTGTTTCCCATCTGCAAAGTGGGGATGACGACAGCGGCCGTCACCGGGTGCCTGGGAAAGGCGCCCTGCGAACGGACACCCGCGATCGCCAGGGCCACTGGGTGGGGCGGTCCGCTGCTGCCCCGCGACTCCCAGGAGCCCACCCTGCTCCCCGGGCCTGGCCCGAGGCCAAGGTCACGGCGAGCGGCGGCTGCAGGGGCCGCACGGCCCGGCTGGGCAGGGCTGCACCGCGGAGGACGGCGCACGAGGTCGGACTGGGCTGGTCCCAGGCGCCAGGAGCCGCCGCCACCACCGCCGCCGCCCGCACCCACTCACCTTCCGAGCGGGAGGAGGCCGCCGCGCGCCGGACGGAAGTGCCCAGCCCCGCCCCACTCCGCCCAGTCGGCGCGAACTTCCGGGACGCTCTGGGCCTCGGGAGGACTGCACGCCTCGGTGGCCAAGTGGGGGCGGGGCCGGGATGCAAAAGCAGGCCTTTCCCCGCCCCGCTCCTCCCCTCCTGGGCTGCGCCCGCGCGTGGCTTTCGCGTTCTCGCTGGCCGGGGTCCCGCCCGCGCCTGCAGAGCGCCCGGGCGCTGGGAGCGGCGCTGCGTGGGGCGCAGAAGCCGGCGCCTCGGAGCCTCCTTCCCGACGGGGGCCAGGCCTTCGCCCGCGCGCCCACGGCCGGGCTTCGGGAGCTGACGGCGCCGTTCCCACGCTCCCCCACGCCTCCGTGCACTCCAGGCCCCGGGGTTCTCGGCTGGAGTCGCTTCCACGTTCAGCTTGCGAGTCCACCCCGCCGCCCTCTTGGGTTCCCTCCTCGGGACGTGTCCGCAGCGATGGCCGCCGGGAACCGCTGCAAGACGCGCGACCTCCCGCTCCCCTCGGGGGGGTCCCAGCGCCCTCGTTCTGCCTGATTTCCAGGGGCCTCCCCGGAGCCCGAGGAGGACAATACAGGTTCCCAAAAGCCCCTTCATGGACTCCTTCCTCATTTTCCTTTTGTTCAGCCAGTTTCTCCCTCAGTTCTGTTTACGACCCGAAAAGATAAAACTGTCACTCTCCGGGATAAACACACGGCAGGGGGAGGGTTCTTTGACCCTTTTGAGCAGGGGTGCAGAGAGCCGAGGCGAGGGGACCCCCGAGCTGGAGGGGCGCGCGGAACAGAGGGCGGGGAGCCAGATGGGCAGCAGCTGCCTGGTGCCAGAGTGGACGTTCAGGGTTGTGTGGGTGGAGATATACAAAAATCTCTAAACTCCACCATAAGAAAACAAACATTCCAGTTAGAAAATTGGCAAGAGCCGCAACAGACATTTGACCGAAGAGGGCACAGGGATGGCAATAGGCTCGAAAAGGAATGGCTGTCAAGGATGCTGGCCAGCATCGCGGTGGGTGCCACTGCACACTTGCCAGGTGGCTCAGGTAAAAACTACTAACAAGTGCCAAGTATCACTGAGGCCGCGGAGCAGCTTGGGACATCGCCAGTGGTAAGGCAAAGTGGTGCTGCCATTCTGGAAATTGGCTTGGCAGTTTTTTAAAAAGTTGTAAGTAGGGCTGGGCGCGGTGGCTCATGCCTGTAATGCCAGCACTTTGGGAGACTGAGGCGCGCGGATCACCAGAGGTCGGGACCAGCCTGACCAACAGGGAGAAACCCTGTCTCTCCCCCATCTCTGGCTAATACAAAATTAGCCAGGTGTGGTGGTGGGCGCCTGTAATCCCAGCTACTCGGGAGACTGAGGCAAGAGAATCGCTTGAACCTGGGAGGCGGAGGTTGCAGTGAACCAAGATCACGCCATTGCACTCCAGCCTGGGCAACAAGAGCAAAAACTCTATCTCGGAAAAAAAAAAAATAGTTATAAGTAAATCTGCCATGTGACTGAGCGTGTCACTCTTGGGTGAAAACTAATGTTCATGCAAAAATCTGTGCCCCAACCTGGACCATTCTATAGAACTAGTACTACATCTGGCTGGGTGCGGTGGCTCACACCTGTAATCCCAGCACTTTGGGAGGCTGAGGTGGGTGGATCACTCAAGGTCAGGAGTTGAAAACCAGCCTGGTCAACATGGTAAAACCCCATCTCTACTAAAAATACAAAAAACTACCCGGACACGGTGGCAGGCACCTGTAATCCCAGCTACTTGGCAGGCTGAGGCAGGAGAATTGCTTGAACCCAGGAGGTGGAGGTTGCAGTGAGCTGAGACCGCACTCCAGCCTGGGCGACAGAGCAAGACTGTCTCAAAAAAAAGAAAAAAGAAAAGAAAAAAAGAACTAGTACTATATCTGATGCTATTTGGAGGTGAGCCCCCTGCACATCTCGTGGAAATGTGGCCCAGTGGTGGCGGTGGGGCCTGGTGGGAGGTGTCTGGGTCATGCGGGGGATTACTCATGAGCGGCTTGGTGCCCTCCCCTAGGTGATGAGTGAGTTCTCAGTCCATTAGTTCACATGAGAGCTGGCTGTTAAAAAGAGCCTGGCACCTCCGCCCCTCTCTTGCTCTGGCTCTTACCTTGTGACAGATGCGCCGGCTCCCACTTTGCCTTCTGCTGTGAGTAAAAGCTTCCTAAGCCCTCCCCAGAAGCCTCTTCTTATACAGTATGACCAGGGACAGCAGCACCCTCCGAACCCTGATCTGAACTGTGAGTCAAGCAAACCTCTTTTCTTTCTTATTTACTTTTGAGATGGAGTTTCCGCTCTTGTCGCCCAGGCTGGAGGGCAATTGGCGCAATCTTGGCTCATCGCAATCTCTGCCTCCCAGGTTTAAGGGATTCTCCTGCCTCAGCCTCCCAAGTAGCTGGGATCACAGGCGTGCACCCCACACCCGGCTAATTTTGTATTTTTAGTAGAGATGGGGTTTTGCCATGTTGGCCAGGCTGGTCTTGAACTCCTGACCTTAGGTGATCCACCCGCCTCAGCTTCCCAAAGTGTTGGGATTACAGGCATGAGTCACTGCGCCCAGCACCTCTTTTCTTTCTTTCTTTTTTTTTTTTTGAGATGGAGTCTCACTCTGTTGCCCAGGCTGGATTGCAGTGGTGCGATCTCAGCTCACTGCAAGCTCCACCTCCCGGGTTCATGCCATTCTCCTGCCTCAGCCTCCCAAGTAGCTGCAACTACAGGCGCCTGCCAACTTACCCAGCCTCAGGTATTCCTTCATAGCAGTGCAAAATGGACAAACACAGAACCTACATCAGGAGAGCGGCAGATGACAATGCAATTGACTCGATGACAGGCTGCGGCCGCATTGCACCGGGCTGTGCAGACTCATTTTGGGGGACAGCTGTGTCTTTGTATGTAGTTCTTGACATTGTCACACACACAGGCTGTTGTCACCAGCTCCCCATGCATCCAACACATCACGGGAAGCTGACTCACCGAAGCTACCGTCCGTGTCGGCTGACCTTTGAGAAGCCGTGGAGTGTCTTACTTCCCAGGCCCCTTGGACCGGTCCTCAGCCTGGCCAGCTCACAGGAGTGAAGGAAGAAGGCAACGGGTGTAATCAGAGTGGAAGAATCCCCTTCCCCCACCAGGGCTTTGGAGGGAGTGCAAGGGTTGCTGATTTAATGAGCTGGGAGCCAGCAGCCAGCCTGGTCTGTTGGAGCAGCAGGTGCGGGGGGCGGGCTCCTTGCCTGAGCAGGGTTTTGCTGGGTATTCACTGTGAACAATGAGCTGGTGTTCATTATGTTGGGAGGCGGGGTTCGGGATTCGGGGTTCCAGCCCCAACAGCCCCAGAGCCCCTGGTCCTAAGGCGTGGGAGTCGGCCCACAGCCCCCCAGGCCTGTTGTCTTGGGCTGCGGATTAGAAAAGACCTCCATGGGCTTCTTTTGTTGAGATCACGGAATTCAGTGCCTGTTCAGATACCCACACAGGCCTGGCCTGCTCCAGCCAGTGCTGCTGGGGTTGGGGTGAGGGTGCCATCTGGACAGCAGTGCCCTTGTCTCTAGGGGTCCCTGTGGGAAAGCTCAAAGCTTCCTGGGCAGGAGGGCTGGTCAGAGCCCCCGAGCCACTGGAGTAGAGAGGCTGAAAGCACTTCTTAGACCACACCTGGAGACGAGGGGCTCAGAGGAGTGACCAGGCTAAAGGTCCAAGAGGCTTCTCTAAGGGGCAGCACCAGGGAGAGAGAGGGGTGGGAGCAGGAAGGAGGGAGGGGAGGCAGCAGAAGGGAGGGGCCAGCCCATCACAGAGAGGTGGGAGGGGTGCAGGGGCAGAGGTCTGATGCTTGAAGGAGTCGCCTGGGGTTCAAGTTTGGAAGACCAGGCAGGGGAGTGTGGTGAGCATGGGGAGGACAGAACAGGATGGGGAGGGACAGACCGAACAGCCTTGACATCTCCACTGGGGGCTTGGACGTCATTCTCAGGGCACTGGGGGGCACAGGCGTCTGTAGGGAGGGAGGCAGGAGAGCTGACACACACTGAAGGTGTCCCTGGGGCTGTGGGGTAGAGCAGAGCAGCACAGAAGGGAGAGGGGTCAGTGGCTGCAGCCCCTGCACACAGCACAGCTGGCAGAAGGCTGCCTGAGTCCCAGGCTGGGATGCGGACGATGAGGAAGCTTTAGGCCTGGGCTGGTGGGACAGAGACGGGGCCACTCTGGGTGCTGTCCTCAAGAGTGGAGAAAGGCAGTCGAGTACACTTGCCTCTCGCCAGCAGCAGCCACCGTGTCGCCTTGCTGGCTTGTTTGCGGGGGAGGGACAGCTGGGAGGGTTCTGGTCAAGTGTGTGAAGACGTGACCAGTTCCCACATCTCCAGCCACCACAGACACTTGTTCCTGCAGGAGCGACCGCGCCACGCCTTTCTAGCTTCTGGAACCCCACGCATCTCTGGGCTGTTCCCTGGGGCCTTGAGAGCCACCTTTCCCGTCCTTTCCTTCGTCGTCACGGGGTCTAAATCTGTATCTCTCACCTGCAGCATCTGGGCAGGACCCCCACACATCCCGGCCTCTGCACACTAGATTCCGGTGGTACCCCCACCCAGCTGTGACTGTCCCAGACATTGCTGAGTGGTCCCCGGGGGCAAAAGTGCCCCTGGTTGAGAGCAACTGCCCTACCGAAGGAGGTGCAAGCCAGTGAACAGAGGACCGGGCAAAAGCGGGTGCTGTTTGGAACTCAGAGGGCCTGGAGAAGGTGTTCAGGACTCCCGGGGCCTCCGCTGGGGCATCCTGAGTGCAGGCACTAGGCCACCGAATGAACCCTCAGCTTCCCAGGTATCCGGGGCCTGAAAGGTGTGAGGACATTTCCGCACTGCAAAGGGATGCTCCCATCATGAGTGAGTGAACAACTTTCTCATTTATGTGTCAGTCTCCTGTTGAGTCTGGCTAACGGGGAGTGGTCTCAGGGAGACCCATCAGAGGCAGCAACCAGCCAGGGTCCTGCGGTCCTGGGAAGCGGCACCTGCACTGTTCCCTGGGAGGCAGCTGGTAGCCTTCGTGGGGGGCACTGACTGCATCCCGAGTGCAGAGAGATCAATGAAGACAGCACTCGAGTCAGAAATCAATGTTTACTGCAGAGAACACAGAAGCCAGCAAGCAGCAGGGAAGGGAGGTGTCGCAGCGAGCATGTCGGGCAGGCTGGGAACCAGCGCAGTGGCCCACGCGGACCGAGGAGGACACGCAGAGCAAGTCACAGGAAGCGCAGCTGCAAACAGACGCTTATCCCAAATGCACAGGACACTTACCAAGGACTGATGGTCTCAGAGTCATGCTCAACAGCTTTGGCTGGCAGGACACTTAAAGTTTTGGACAACAGAAAGTAACAGTGGAAAAGGGGACATCTGCCCCAACACGAGAGGCCAAGACCACAGCTGTTACAGGAGGGGTCAGCGCCGTAGTACACGGGTGGCGGCGGCTGCACATGCGTGCCTGGGGAATGAGAGTGTTCAGACATGCCAGGTGCCCAGCCTGGGGAATGAGAGTGTTCAGACATGCCAGGTGCCCAGCCTGGGGAATGAGAGTGGTCGGACATGCCAGGTGTCCAGCCTCACCAGGAAACAGGCACACGGGGACAGAGGTGCACACACTGAAAACTCTCACTGAATCCACTCGCCTGAGCGGTGGCCACGGGAGCACGGTGCTGTACTCCCCACAAACCTGAACCTGGGCCCCAGGGCGAGAGGCATGGAAGGTGCAGGGGTGCAGGGATGTGGGTAGGGGCTGCCAGCTCAGAGGCATGTCCAGGAACCCCCATCAGGCCAGAGCCCTGCCCTGAGCCGCCTGCAGGGGTGACTGCGGGACAGCAGCGTTAGACCCAGTCTTGGCTGTGAGGTTGCTCCCACTGCCACGCACGACCCTGGGATTCTGTCAAGGTGGGGGCCGTCTGCTCGGCCCGGGCTCCCTGACCATGTGGCTGGGTTTGCAGACGAAACCAGGAGAGTGCCAACACCAGGCTCTGTAAGCACGAGGCTCCCTGCTGGCCCCATCCCAGAGTGCACCCCCATCCTTCCCGCATCCCTGGGCTCAGCTGTTCCTCACTGACCTCAGAGACACCCTGCCCTGCCCCAGCTCCACAGGAGCCCTGCCCACCACCACCTCAGCTCTGAGTCTCCCTTGGGGACACGGCTTTTCTCCTGGTGCAGAGGCGCAGGACACTGTCCCTAAGGCCTATCTTCCTCTGCAGCATGTTTTGATGTCAGCTCATTCACAGGAAAGAAACGGTCACATCTCAGTGCCCCAAATGGGGACCAATAGGAGAGGTCACTGGGAATGAAGTCCGGGTACAGTCCGGGGTCCATGGGCTCTCCAGAAACGCAGGTGGACCCCACCAGAGCCAACGAGCCTCAGTCGCTGATCGGCCCCTCCCTGCTTCCCCGTGTCAAAGAGGAAACAGAGGCCCAGATGAGGAGGGCTGGCTGGCTGCATCCCCAGACCTCTGGTCCCAGGGCTGGCTGGCAGCGCCCCTCCCCCTGCTCACTTCCTGCTCTCCTGAGAAATGGCTCAGGGATGCAGCCTGTGGGGACAGATGCTGGCATAGCTCACAAAATGCTCGCACAAGGGACACTCCATGGCACGTCCCTGCAGCCGAGCAAAGTCACAACATTTGAGGTACTCTGCACTCTGAGGCCCACAGAGCTCGGCTGGCCAAGTGAGGCTGGGAGGATGGTGCCTGCTGGTCACGGCAGGTGAGTGGGGCTGGGAGGATGGTGCCTGCTGGTCAGGGCCACTCTCTGGTCTGGGTGGCCGAGCAAGGCTGAAAGGATGGTGCCCGCTGGTCAGGGTGGCTGGGTGAGGCTGGGAGGATGGTGCCTGCTGGTCAGGGTGGCTGCGTGAGCCTGGGAGGGTGGTGCCCGCTGGTCAGGGTGGCCCAGGAGGTGCTGTCCAGGTGGAGCCCGGGGCTGGTGTGGGTGCGCCATGCTCCTGAGAAGTTTCTGGGTTGCGGCTTTGATGTTCTCCTGCAATGAGAATGCTGACACTTGGCTGAAGGGTCCTCACGTCTCCCCCAGTACACTTCTGAGATGCCGGGAAGGTTCTGAACATTAGGCTGATTCCTGGGACTCCCTCCAGGGTGGCCTCACTGGAGTCAGGAGCCCGCGCCCTGCGTCCACTGCCCCACTAGGATGGCTCTGCAGTGGGCTGAGGACAGTGAACACTGGGGTCACTGGTGGAAAGCTGCCCACTGTGATGGTTTTGACCTCTGAAGATGTTTGGGAGCCAAGTGAACGCCTGGGAGCTATTTCTAGGCATTTCAGAGGCTGCTCCCCTGCACGTGCCTGCCGCACACCGCCCTCCCCGGGCCAGGCGCCTGCCACACAGGAGGAGGTTCCTTTTCTTCTCTTCCGAGCGCTTTTCTTCTCCTTTTCTTAATCTCTGCTCCTCCTCTGAACTGAGGAGTGTGCGAATCTTTTTGTTAGTTTTGAGGTTGCTTCTTATGCATATTTGATCTGGAACTTCCTGCTTTGGGGGTGATCTGCTCTACCAGCCTGAAAAGGACGAGAAATACCTTCTGAGTACATAGGAAGTGCGGTTATACCTGGTTCCTCTGTTGGTAAAGACCACACTATGAAAGCAAGAGAACGGCTTGGGTTGAGTGGAAACAGGCACCTGCGGGCGATGGAGGCCAGGGTTGGGGGCGGGGGGCCTTGAGATCAGTGGGGGGTGTGGAAGTGGGTGTTAACCCGTGCACCCCAGGGCTGGATGGCACCAGGTTCATGAGGAAGTGCTTCCTGTTTTCTAAAAACATTAAGGAAGGTGGGAGGGTGTCAGATGTGTAAGCTGAGTGTACGTGACATGATCCTTTAAACCGTGCTAGAGCAAATGCCCACTCACCCTCCATCTGGTTTCAGAGCGAGATGCCACCCAGGGGCCCATGCCCTGTGCCTGCCCCTCCCTCCGGAGTTCCCTGTGAACCATGCTTTTGCTTTTCTCTGCAGTCCGACCACGCGTCCCCAGACAACACACTGTTTAGTTTTGCTTTTAGTTTTGAACTTCGCGGCAGTTAAAACAGAACCGTGTGTCTTCTGTGCCTTACATTCCCTGCTCAGCGCTGTATCTGACACGCACAGGTGCTGACGTGGTCCCGGCTGGCTGTGCAGTCACTGCGCCAACAGCTTCCCTTGACCAACAGACCACGATTTACCCGCTTCGCTGCCGACAGGCATTGGGTTCTTTCCGGCTTTCCTGACAGTGCACGCCGTGAATGTTGTCGTCTCTGGCTGCGCGCACACACGTTTCTCACGGGGAAGTAAACAGTGGCTCCTGGGGCAGCAGGAACGCACATCTTCGCCTTTGCCAGAAAAAGCCAGGCTGCTCTCCAGACTGTGCTGCCGCCCAGTGCCACAGCAGCAGACGAGGACTCCCGCCCGTCCCGTGCAAGGATCAGAATCAGACCTGGCCGTCTTTACCACGCTGTGGGGCACAAAATTGCATCTCTTTGTTGCTTTAACTTGTGTGCCCTGATTTTTAATGAGATTGAGCATGTTTTCAGATATTTATGAGCCATGGATGTTTTTTTCTTCTGTGACTTTTGCCCACTTTTCTTTTTTCTAGAGATGGAGTCTCACTGCATTATTCAGGCTGGTCTTAACCTCCTGTTTTAGGCCATTTTTCTACTTAGATATTTGTCTTTAAAAATCCTGGTTCCTATGACTGCTACACATATTCTGAACGTTTGTCATTTGTTGCTACAGTGGTCAGGGTAAGTAATGGTGGCTGGGATAATGAAGAACCTCCGAATCTCGGCGTCTCACTCGGGAGGCCTCCCCTTCTTGCTCACATCACAACAGGGTCTTGAGGCTCCCCCGAGGGCGACTCCGGGACATGGCTCCTTCCCTTGGTATGTGGCTCTGCCATCTCTGAGTCCTTCTCTTTCAGTCACAGGAAGGGAGGACAGTGGATGGTCACAGGGAAGATTTCAGGAGGCCAGGCCTGGAAGAGGCGCCCATCGCTCCTGCTCACATCTGCAGAACAGAATGCAGTGGTGCAATCACAGTTCACTGAGGCGTCAACCTCCCAGGCTCAACTGATCCTCCTGCCTCAGCCTCCCGAGCATATGGGACCACAGGCGCATGCCACCACACTTAATTTTTAATTTTTATTAGAAATGAAATCTCACTATGTCGCCCAGGCTGTCTCAAACTCCTGAGCTCAATCGATCCTCCCACCTTGGCCTCCCAGTGTGCTGGGATGACAGGTATGAGCCACCGCGCATGGCCTGCGAGTGCTTAGTACCTTTTTTCATGTATATGTGTATGAGTGACACTGAACTGTAATTTTGATATCCAGATTATACTCGCTTCAGAAAATAACACAGGGTGTGTTTCCTGTCTGTCTCCGAGTCTGGGTAAAACTGGAGCTGTTTCTTGAAGTCACGTGCAAAGCACCTGGACTTGGCGTTCTTTGGCAAGACTGAGAATCATCCACACAATCTCTGTCACGGCCACGGACTCTGTGTGCGTGTCTCCTCGAGCTGGGCTGCCGCGTGACTTTCCTCCTGACGGTCGCGCCGTTTCGGTGGAGTTTTTTGTCAGCACGGACTTTTCTCACTTTTTCAGCGTCAGATGTGGCTGCACTGCCTTCCCTTCTCATTCCGAATGGTTGATTTGCTCCTTTTTTCTCAGTCATTTTGCCAGAGAATGTCAATTTTTTTTTTTTTTTTGAGGCGGAGTCTCGCTCTGTCGCCCGGGCTGGAGTGCAGTGGCCGGATCTCAGCTCACTGCAAGCTCCGCCTCCCGGGTTTACACCATTCTCCTGCCTCAGCCTCCCAAGTAACTGGGACTACAGGTGCCCGCCATCTCGCCCGGCTAGTTTTTTGTATTTTTTAGTAGAGACGGGGTTTCACCGTGTTCGCCAGGATGGTCTCGATCTCCTGACCTCGTGATCCACCCGTCTCGGCCTCCCAAAGTGCTGGGATTACAGGCTTGAGCCACGAATGTCAATTTTAATAGTCCTTTCAAAGAACTAACTCTTAGCTCTTTTGTCCTCTCAGTGGTGTCTCTATTAGTTGTATTAATAAGTTGCTTTATTTACTTATTTATTTTTTTGAGACAGAGTTTCGCTCTTGTTGCCCAAGCTGGAGTGCAATGGCGCCCTCTTGGCTCACTGCGACCTCCGCCTCCCGGGTTCAAGCAATTCTCCTGCCTCAGCCTCCCAAGTAGCTATGAATACAGGCGCGCCACCACACCTGGCTAATTTTTTTTGTATTTTCAGTAGAAACGGGGTTTCACCATGTTAGCCATGGCTTGTCTTGAACTCCTGTCCTCAGGTGATCCGCCTGCCTTGGCCTCCCAAAGTGCTGGGATTACAGGCATGAGCCACTGCACACGGCCTGGGCCTTTGTTTTTCTAACTGTCACACTGGGGGCTTCCCTCCTGACTTCCAGCTCCTCTCCTAACAGCAACAGAGGCACACAGGGTTGGACACTGCCCTTGGATTCTGCTGCCCCCAGGTGCTCTGTTAAGTTGTATTGATCATGGAGTTTTAAGTGTCTTTTAACTTTCATTAGGTTTTTCTTTGACCTGGGTCATGTAGGTTTTCTCTTCCTGGAATATGAGCTTCATTTACACAAGACACCAAAGCAGAGGTCAGCCTAGACAGCCTGTGGCTTCAGTTCTTGGTCTTGTGGTGACGTCATGAGTTCATCTGTCTGTGCCAAATGATGGGGGCAAAAAAGATGGCAGATTGGTTTTGGTTTGGTTGTGCGATTTTTCTCATAACAATAAACATTAAAAAAAATTTCCAAGTGGATTTAAAAGAGTTATCTTTCATTTCTGAGACAGGGTCTTGCTCTGTCACCCAAGCAGGTCTTGAACTCCTGGCCTCAAGTGATCCTCCTGCCTCGGCCTCCCAAAGCACTGGGATTACAGGTGTGAGTCACTGCATTGGGCCCAAAAAATGTATCTTTTCTTGTTGTTTTCCATGCTGATTTTGTTGAAGCCAGCTCTCTCATCTTTTCCTTGGAGAGGTATCCAAGGCCATCAGCTTGCACGGCCCCCATTACATGTGTGAACCAATATCTGATCTCGCTAAGAAAACCAGCACGTGGGGCAAGCCCTGATCCCACTAACACCAGCACGCGGGGCGAGCCCTGATCTCACTGATCTCACTAAGAATAGCAGCACGCGGGGCGAGCCCTCATCTCACTAACACCAGACGTGGAGCTAGCTCTGATCCTACTAACACCAGCATGCAGGGCAAGCCGTGATCCCACTAACACCAGCACGCGGGGCGAGCTCTGATCCCACTAACACCAGCACGCGGGGCGAGCCCCGATCCCACTAACACCAGCACGCGGGGCGAGCTCTGATCCCATTAACACCAGCACGCGGGGCGAGCTCTGATCCCACTAACACCAGCACGCGGGGCAAGCTCTGATCCCACTAACACCAGCACGCGGGGCGAGCTCTGATCCCACTAACACCAGATGTGGGGCGAGTCCTCATCTCACTAACACCAGCACGTGGGGCGAGCTCTGATCTCACTAACACCAAACGCGGGGCGAGCCCTGATCTCACTGATCTCACTAAGAATAGCAGCACGCGGGGCGAGCCCTCATCTCACTAACACCAGACGTGGAGCTAGCTCTGATCCTACTAACACCAGCATGCAGGGCAAGCCGTGATCCCACTAACACCAGCACGCGGGGCGAGCTCTGATCCCACTAACACCAGCACGCGGGGTGAGCTCTGATCCCACTAACACCAGATGTGGGGCGAGTCCTCATCTCACTAACACCAGCACGCGGGGCGAGCCCCGATCCCACTAACACCAGCACGCGGGGCGAGCCCCGATCCCACTAACACCAGCACGCGGGGCGAGCCCCGATCCCACTAACACCAGCACGTGGGGCGAGCTCTGATCCCACTAACACCAAACATGGGGCGAGCTGACATGGCCACACAGTAGGATCCAGCACTGTGCTTACGATGTCACGTATTAAGGCTCTGGTTCTTGGCAACCCTGTGGGGTAAGCACTGTCAGCATTGCCATTTCACACCTGGGAAAACTGAGGCAGAGGTCCCAGAGTTCCAGAGTGAGAGGTCAAGTCCACAGCCCCTGACTTGAGAGCTATGCTCTTGACCACCTACCTCCATGCTAGAAATCAAAGATGTTGGATTAAAGTGTGAGTTTAAGATCAGGAACCCACCTGCCCGCTCCTACAGAGGCCGAGGTGGTCCTGCCATCTGTGCACTGCTGCAGGTGTCTCTGTGGGCATGACCCGGGGCCGGCATTTGGTGAGATGTCATTCCACATCTGGGGGTCCGTCTTATCGGCCCTAAATATGGAAAAGATATTTATTGTGGCATTATTCATAATAACCTAGTTTGGAAACAGCCCACATACCCATGTTGGGAAGTGCATAAGTCACCTGTGCCTTTTTGATTCAACTGGTCATTGTGCAGGCATTAAAAGTAACGCTTCCTTTCTGGCCAACATGGTGAAACCCCGTCCCGACTAAAAATACAAAAATTCGCCGGGCGTGGTGGCGCATGCCTGTAGTTCCAGCTACTCAGGACGCTGAAGCAGGGGAATCGCTTGACCGCGGGAGGTGGAGGCGGCAGTGAGCTGAGATCACGCCACTGCACTCCAGCCTGACGACAGAATGAGACTCTGTATCAAAAAAAAAAAAAAGGTAATGCCTCCCACTGTCAGTAACAGGGAAAAGCAATGATCATATTATCGTAAGTAAAATCAAACCTAATGCAGACACCACCAGGGCATGCGTGCCAGTCTCCTGGGCCGTCCTAGACAGCTGTGTCCACACGCACCACCCTCCCTGGCACATCCTGACAGACAGCAGAGGATGCCTGCCTTGAGCAGCTCCCTGCCCCGCCCCCGGTTTCTTTCTTGTGTCCGACTTCCTGACTTCTGACGCCATCTCTTCCCTGCCAATAGCTAATTCTGAAGAATGCTAAGACACAGAGAAACTGCCAGGATTGGGAGTTGTGTTAGTTCATTTTGTGTTACTATAAAAGAATACCCAAGGCTGGGTAAGTTTTTATAAAGGGGTTGACTTGGCTCGCGGTTCTGCGGGCTGTGGAGCTATCTGCTTGGTTTCTGGTGAGGCTGCAGGGAGGGATCAAGAGAGACAGGAGAAGGCGCCAGGCTCTTTAATCCAGGAGTCCCCAACCTCAAGATGGGTCCATGGCCTGTTAGAAACGGACCACACAGCAGGAGGTGGGCGGCAGGCGAGCGAGCGTTACCGTCTGAGCTCCGCCTCCTGTGAGATCAGCGGTGGCATGAGATTCTCACTGGACTGCGAACCCCACTGTGAACTGCGTGCGAGGGATCTAGGTTGCGTGCTCCTCATGAGAATCAAATGCCTGATGATCTGAGGTGGGACAGTTTCATCCTGAAACCATCCACACCACTCCCTGTCCATGGAAAAACTGGTCCCAGGTGCCAGGAAGGTTGCGGACCACTGCTTTAAACAACTAGCTCTCCCGTGAACCTACGAAGTGAGAACTCACTCATTACTGTGAGGAGGGCACCAAGCCATTCCCGAGGGATCTGCCCCCATGACCCCAGTACCTCCCGCCAGGCCTCCTTCCAGCACTGGGGATCACATTTCCACATAAGATCTGGAGGGAACAGATGTCCAAACTACACCAGGAGCTCTAATGCACCCTTCACCTAGGACAGGATTAGCAAGCAATGGCCCACAGGCACATCCAGCCCACCTCCTATGTTGGTAAATAAAGTGTTTTTTTTTTTTTTTGAGACGGAGTCTCGCTCTGTCGCCCAGGCTGGAGTGCAGTGGTGTGAACTCGGCTCACTGCCAGCTCCGCCTCCCGGGTTCACACCATTCTCCTGCCTCAGCCTCCCAAGTAGCTGGGACTACAGGCGCCAGCCACAGTACCCGACTAATTGTTTGTATTTTTAGTAGAGACGGGGTTTCACCGTGTTAGCCAGGATGGTCTCGATCTTCTGACCTCATGATCCGCCCGCCTCAGCCTCCCAAAGTGGTGCGATTACAGGCGTGAGCCACCGCGCCCAGCCTGTAAATAAAGTTTTCTTGGCACAGCCGTGCTCGTTCATTCGTATGCCACTGACAGCTGCTGTTGCCCTACACAGCAGGGTGGGGACCTGCTCTTCATGGGAGAGCTAGTTGTTTCAAGCAGTGGTCCCCAACCTTCTGTGGTCCCCTGTGGGTGCTAAGGCATAGGCCATACGGCTGCAGTGCCAAGAATACTTCCTGACTGACCCTTCATCGGAAAAGTTTGCCAACCTGTGTTCTAGATTCCCCATGACTGACATTGAGCCAGTCTCCTGTCACTCTCCAGTGACGTGCACACACCATTGGCATGAACTGCAGGCGTCACGCTCTGCGGCCGAGAGCCTCGGTGTGCGTCTGCAGTAGGAGGGCGTCAGTGAGGACTGCCCTGTCCCTGCGGCGCTGGTGCCGGCTGTGCCTGCAGTTGACTGTGCCTGGAGTCTACACTCCAGGTCAGCCAAACGTCCCAGCAAGTCCTTCAAAGCAACTCTTCCGATCCAGGACCACACGTCGCATGTGCTCTGATGCCTGCTTCTGAACAATTTCACCTCCTGAGATGTCCATTTCTGGGAGTGCAAGTCTTCCTCTCCTGGTGACAGCTTGGCTGAGGCCGTCCAGCCTCAGGGACATACCGGGAACGGCTGCATAAGGAGATCCGGGGCAGGGGGCCCACCAAGATGTTCTGCCCTGTGGGGGTCAACACTGGCCGTGGTCTGCCGGCGGCATCCAGGGGCAGTCTATCTAGGTGAGGCTGAGGCTGCCTGCCCCTCGCTCCCTCGCCCCCTTGCCCCCTCACCCCCTCACCCCCTCACCCCCTTGCTGACAGCAGTGGGCTGACCACAGCCCCAGGGAGCCCCACGGGAAGACTGGCCTCCCCAGCACACGCCCAACAGTGTGAGACACAGTCATCACCGAGGCAGGTACACAGCACCACGGGACTTGCCACCTACCTACCCCCACCGGGACCATGGGCCACTGAGAAGCCACGAAGGCCATGCTTCCAGCAGCGACCGCGGTGGCAGGACCATCAGGAGGCCACAGGTGCCACGGCTCCTCTCTGGTGAGTCACCTGCTCACCTGTGCCCAGGAAGACCCCTCCAGTGCGGTCCTGAGAGCAGACCCCCCCCAGGCAACACGTCTGATGAGGCCAACACAGCCTCAACCCAAACAAGGCAGGGCCCGCAGGCGAGCATAGCCACACCAGCAATGCCATGGGGGCGTGGTGGTGGTGGGGCCTTCTGGGTAGACCCGCCTGGGTCCACAGCCAGCTCACGCACTGAGTGTCACCCGACCTCAGAGAGCCCTGCAGCCATCTGGGAGATGCTGCCCTGCAGGTCAGGACCCAGTGCGAGCAGGTGACGGGCTGGGCTCTCAGACCTACTATATAGAACGTTAACCAGGCCAGAGGCAAAGCTAGTGTGGGTGACCGTGTGGTTAGTTCTAGGCTATTTCTATTTCTGTGGGGAAGTGAGGAGATGCATCTGTCAGCGCAGCCCATGGGCAGTGGGCATGAGAGAGGCCGGGAGCCGGGCAACCTCCTCACGATACTACAAGTGGTGGCACTCAGGACTCCCTGCCATGGAACAGGCTCCTCTGGCCAGGCCAGCAGCGGGAGCAGCTGGGAGAAGAGACCCACTTTGATGTGGAATGTGCTTCCAACACGTCTGAGTGCAGGGATCGAAGCATCCTTCTAGTGGGAGGGGAGGCCTGCCAAGAGGCTCTCTTTCCAAGTGACCCCATGGTGGCCAAGCTGGTATGGGGCCTACACAGACAGGCAGAAATATTACAGCCCTCAGAAAGACTGCGGCAGGAAAAACGTGTTAACCCAGTAAACGTTTCCACCCAGACATGACTGCTCTCCATTATCCAGGCAGTGTCCCCCACTCCGTTTCTGAGACTGCTCAACGGACAAGGCCAAGGCCGTCTCCAGCTCGAATCGGGACCCTCCTTCCAGGACAGAATCCCCAAAGACTAGGGCCATTAGTGTTTCATGTCTAAACGGCTGACAACACAGGCGCCAACATTTCCCAATAAAAAACCATATTACCTCCTGGTTGACAAAGTCATTTTCTACCCTCTTATAAACCAGTCCCTAGAGAGCACAGGGTCCTGTCCACAGTGCTCCTGGATGGACACAAAGGTGGCACAGGCCTGTGGACCTGCCATGGGGTGGGACAGGACTGGTACAGGCATGAAGAAATGGAACTAACCTGAATACTGGGCTGCTCCGTGGGGCTGGGGCCCACCGCTAACGTCGGAAGGCCAAGGGGCAGATGCAGGCTGGACTGAAGCTGCTGAGGGCACCCCAGGGGCCCCACCACGTGGCTGGGGCAGGAAGCTCAGCAGGTGGTGGTGTCCAAGGTCCTGAGGAACCTTTGTCCCGAGTCCATCCAGGTAAGTCAGGCCGCCTCTCTGGGAGCAAGGCTGGGCCAAGAGGGCGCGGAGTGTGGCCCAGTTCCAGGGACGGGGTCTGAGCTCAGGGACTGGCGCTCCAGCAGGAGGAGAGAAGCCAGAGAACCAAGCACAGTTCGGGCACAGAGGCCGGGAAGGGACGAGTGGTCCTGGGGCTCGCTGCAGAGCTCGGGGACCCAGAGAGCAGAGTGTCCAGACTGGGGCGTTCAGCAGCAGATGAAAGGCTTAAGCAGAGAGGACATCACAGGCAGGTGGCAGCGGGAAGTGCTCGGCCGCCCGCCACACCAGGAGCCTCTCCTGCTGGGTGCTCTGAGGTGACCCAAACCCGTCCCACGGATGGCAGTGAACACACCCTGCTCTCTGGTGCTGAGCCCCGTGAGCCATCGAAGAACCTGGAAAATGGTCTGTGGCTGCAAGGAGCCTCTCGTGGCTTCTACATTACTGCAGTGTCTTGATCCAAAGAGATTCTCTGCAGTGGAAAGGTCGCTCGCTCGTTTGCACGTTCCCACATCTGACCAGGCTGATTTTCCGGGGGTCCCCAGGGCACGGAACACAGTGCACATGGCCCTGTGCCCCCACCAGACGCTGAACACGAGGGAGCCACGGAGCAGGCGGCCGGCGAGGCTCGCACTGTAGGGCCTGAGTCCACAGACGGCCCCAGCTCAGGGCTTCTTCCGAGGGTGGCGTTTCCGATGGCGGATGAGACAGGAGCTGTAGGCAAAGGCTTTCCCACAGTCCGTGCACTCGTAGGGCTTCTCCCCGGTGTGCGTCTTCTGATGTTTCAGGAGATTGGAGCCGCAGTTAAAGGCTTTCCCGCACTCCCCGCATTTGAAGGGCTTCTCTCCTGTGTGAGTCCTCTGGTGTTTGGTGACGTCGGAGCTGTGCCGGAAGGCTTTCCCGCACTGCACACACTGGAAGGGCTTCTCTCCCGTGTGGACCCTCTGATGGCGAATGTGGTCTGTCTTGTGCTTAAACATCCGCCCACACTCACTGCACTCATAGGGTTTCTTCCTCTGAAAAGGAATGAACACGGGAACCCCCTCAAAGTCATCTTTAAATGAAGCGTCGAAGGCATCAAAGATGTGCTCTTCGTCTTCAGGACTCAGGCGGGGCTCTGTGCGGGGTTTCCTGGGCACAGTGGGCCTCTCGGGCGGCTTTCTGTCCCCGGACGCCTTCTCCTCTCTGAGTATGCCCTTCTGCACATCTGCTTCCTCCCTCGGGGTCGGCGTCTTCCTTTTTCTGCCTGCAGGCTTCTCCATCGTTCTGTTCCTTGGAAGCGTGAGGGCTAAGGGGCTGCTGACTTCTCTGTGGGCCCCACTTCCTCAAGAACGGCTTGCTTCCCACACATCTCTCCACACTCCCAGCGCGGGACTGATGCTCTGCACCAGGAGGCCAAGGGCCACCATCCTCTTGGTGCTGGGGAGAAGAACATGAACCTCAGATTAAAGGTTCGCATTTCAGGGGCTGTGGGGTTTGGGTGCGGCCCCTCCCTATGTGTTCTCCCACAAGTGTCTCAAACGGAATTGCTGATCTCCCCGGAGCTCCACCTGACTCACTCTCCCAGCCTTTCCTTGTCTTGGTGAAGGGATCAATTGCTCACCAAAGAATCCTTGCTCCTCTGCCAGGGTTCGGGGTCTGCACACCACGTCCGCAGGATCTGATGTGCCCATCAACTGCCCTGTGGCTTCCCTCCTCCACCCCCGAATCCCCCTGGTTCCTGCCCTAATCTCTGTCTCCACCACACTGGGCTTGGGACCAGTCACTGTGCTTTGGAGCTACAGGCTGCAGGGCCCACACGTGCCCAGTGGAGGATGCTTCCAACCCCCAGGGCTGGGTTCTGAGCTCATGAAACCAGGGCTGCCCCCCTGCCATGGACCACAGCAGCCAGCAGACCCCCTCATGTCACATCCTTCCCACCTCAGCTTCCTGAGTAGCTGGGACTACAGGTGTGCGCCACCATGCCCAGTCATATTCTAAGAAATAATATTCCATACCCTTTGTATTAGTTCTTGGGCCAGGGTTGCGCCTAGGTAGAAAGTGGAGCTGAGATGCATGTTGTAAGTGACATATCTCAACACATAAATACCTCGAATTCTCTTTGTTAAGTAAAGAGGAGGTTCGTGGTCTTCCCTCCGTTCCCCCACGAGTGCAGGTAACACATAAACTGACTACAGATTTCCTATCTCAACAAGGACAGGATCTGGTCTTTTCTACAGGAAAATGTTTATATGACTCAGTTTCAGGCCAACATCACTTTCTAGGGCTCTATCTAGAGGTGGCGTGTGCAGATTAGGTGGGCGCCAGAACTGAAGATGAAGGCCACGTGTGCTGAGGGAGGATGCAGGCATAAAGCAGCATCTCTGCTGGGGTGGGCAGGGGGAGCCCTGGTGCCCAGGACAGAGGATCACAGCCTAAGCTGGCTGGAATTTGAGGCCAGGATCCAGCTCTGGTAGGAAACAAAGGTGAGAACCAAGAACGAACACTAAAAATCAGTCGACCAGCTGTTTGCCTCATGGGCAGAGCAGAGCTGGAGAAGCAGCAGCTCTCCAGGGCACAGTTAGAAACCTATCTGGCTCTCTGCACACTCCACTCCATGGCGGGGGTGGGTGTTTGTGAACCTGCTGAGCCTGACACCTGCTGCCCGGGGCCTGTGTGGGGATCCTCCGTGCTGTATAGCACTGTTCCCTCTACCAGACACTTGTTGCTGCACGTGTGGCTGGTCACTGACATGTTAGGCAGCAGAGGCTCCTGAAGGTGAGGATCATGTCTTTTTTATCTTCAGATCCCAGTCACATACTGTGCTCAAGGAACATTCTCCATAATGGTCCTGTCGACTCAACTCAGGCTGGCAGGTGCTAACCGGCAGAGACTGGAATGACTCACTTCTCTACATGCTGCCCACCCTGAGAAATAAAATACTTGTTAAGAACAGAGTGGACTGGCCGGGCTCAGCGGCTCACGCCTGTAATTCCAGCACTTTGGGAGGCCAAGGCGGGCGTATCACAGGTCAGGAGATAGAGGCCATCCTGGCCAACATGGTGAAACCCCGTCCCTACTAAAATACAAAAAATGAGCTGGGCGTGGTAGCGCGTGCCTGTAGTCCCAGCTAGCGGGGAGGCTGAGGGAGGTGAATTGCTTGAACCCAGGAGACAGAAGTTGCAGTGAGCAAAGATAGCGCCAGTGCACTCCCGCCTGGCGACAGAGCAAGACTCCGTCTCAAAACAAACAAAACCCAACCCCCACCCCACGCACACACACAAAACAAAAACGGAGTGGACCGCAGCGATTGTCTTGGCCTCACCTCACAGGCCTGTAGACAGGAGTGATTAGTTAGTTACAGATGGCGCAACCCACACTTGCCACAGCCCTAAAGGCTGGGGTTCTGGTTCTGTCGTGCAACTCCGGCAGAGCCCCGTCGCCTCTCTGGGCGGAGGAACGTTCACCTAAAATATGAAGCTCTGGGTATCCGCAGGCGGTAGGGGCTACCTAGGAAACCTCACTCACCCTGGCGCCTCCCTCCACTACTTTCAGGGATCTGGGTCTCACGGAGAGACTGGAACATTAGTGGGCTTGAGATTCAAGGGCTATCTGCACTAAAACAGCCTGCTGGGTCCACGGCCTGCCAGGGGCCAGCTAGCTGTGCCAAGGCCTGAGATGCCAGGCATCTGAGCCAGGCGGAGGGACCCGCCAGGGTCTTGTGCGTGATCCTAGTTAGAGGTTCCCCTTTCAACGCCACACCCCCGCGGCCCGCGTGCGGAGCTAGGTCGGCCTCGGGGCCGGCGCCTGGGAGGCGCTCAGAGCCAGGTCTCGCCACATCCCTGGAGCGCTGGGGTGCGGGGAGGCGGCGGGGCCCATACCAACTCTGCGCGTCCTGGGCCGGAGGCGGCGGGCAGGAGCCCAGTGAGTACCTGGCTGGAGACGAGGGGCGACGAGGACCTCCCGCTGCAGAACGCGGACTCGCCCGGGCCCTACTAGGACTGCTGGAAGGCGGGGAGAGGCGCGCGCCCCTCACGGGGTCCGGAGGCAGGAAAGGGAAGACCTAGATGCTGCACCGCCCCGCCGCTCCCGCCCCTGCCTGCGTCCAGGTCCCCGTCCGGACCCCGTCAGCCCTAGGCACCCGCAGGAAATGCCCGCCCGCTGACCCGCCCCTTCCGGCGGCCACGCTAGGAGCCGGGGCTGGACTCGGTGGTGGTGAGCGGTGGAGGGCTCGGCCCGAACGAATCCACCCCCAGCCGACTCCGCCCCGAAAACCCCGCCCCGATCATGCCCCGCCCACTCAGGCTCCACCCCTAACCGCCGTCTCGTCCTCAGGTTCCTCCCCCAACTGACCCCGCCCCTTCACAGTTCTTTATGGCAGGCACCCTCCCGAAGGCTCCGCCCTGATCAGGTCCCGCCCCGAGCAGGCCCCGCCTCCGGAAGCTCCTTCTCGAGCTGGCTTCCCCTCATGCCCCGCCCCCTCATGCTCCGCCCTCATGTCCCGTCCCCGAAAGGCCCACCCCCGAAAGCTCCTCCCGGAGCCGGCTCCCCTCATGCCCCGCCCCAGGCTCCGCCCTATGTCCCGCCCCTGAAAGCCCCGCCCTGAACCATCACCCTCATGCCCCGCCCCCACCGACCCCGCCCCGCGAGGCCCCGACCACTTAGCGCGTCCCCGAGCCGACCCAGTCACTTAGGCTGCGCCCACCAGGCTTTCCGGATCCGACGCGCGTGGGCTTCTGGCTCCCGGCCCCCAGCGGGGAGATCGCGGCCGCGCGCCGGGAGGCTTGTCCCTGAGGCCGCTCCCTGCCCACCCCCAGCCTCAGCCTCCGTGGCGTCCACCGCGTGCCTCCACAGGAAGTCGCTACCTGCGCCTTCAGCGCGGAAGGAGAACCGACGCGTCCCCTAGCTGGGCGGGCACCGCCTCCACCACCGCCGCCGCCGCGTGCACGCCCGGGCCAGCCGTCTCCCACCCCGCGGCCCTTGCGGCTCCTCCCGCCGTAGGCAGCGCTCCGGGATATGCTCCCAGCGCTGGCTGCGCTCACTCCACTTCCTGCCCGTCCAGATCGCACTGCGCCGCCAGGCCCGCCACGTACCGCAAACTGGGTGTCCTAAAACGACATCCGCCTGTTATCTCAAGGCTTCTGTGGGCCAGAAGGCCAGGCTTAGCTGGGTCCTCAGCTCAGGTCATCCGCTGTGTTCTCATCTGGAGGCTGGACTGGGGAAGGATTGCTTTCCACCTCATGCGATTGCTGGCAGAAGTCATGTCCTGGTGCTTGTAGGACCCAGGGCCAGCAGGAACTGTTCTCAGCTCCCCGGGGCTGCCTACTGGCCCCTGCTGTGTGGCCATCTGCGAGGGTGGGCAGTTCACAGGGTGGTCACTTCCCCAGGGTCCGAGGGAGAGCCCCACCCCCAGATGGAGTCCTATGGAACAGAACCTAATTGTGGGTGACATGCCACCCCCTCCGCCCAGTTCTACTCAGATTCAAGTCACAGGTGCCACCTGTAGCCAAGGGAACTATGGGCATGGGGCTGGCGCTGGGGGATCTCCTTAGGATATCCGCAGCATTCTGCCCCCTCCACCCACAACCCTTCCCATTTCCACTTTCTATATGATTTCCTTATTATATTTATTATTAATTATCCCACACTCCCATGCAAATCAGCTCTTTGAAGGCTGCCACCTGTGCTTGTTCTGGGTGCCTGGTGTGTGCTGGGCCTCGTGTTTTGTGGACTGAGTGAACGTGGGTGGAGATCTTAGGTGCTGCTGGTGCCGTGGCACCCTAGGAACTGCCTGCCCCCACCCAGCCCTCTCTCCAGCTGCCTCCTGGACTTAGCAAGGTGTTGAAAACCAGGCAGTTCTGCTCCCTCCTCATCCCACCCCCCTCTCCCATCCTGTTGCTTTTACTTCCCAATGTTTTTGTTTTTGTTTTTGTTTTTGAGCAGCAGCAAGATTTATTGTAAAGAGCAAAAGAACAAAGCTTCCACAGTGTGGAAGGGGAGCCGAGCAGGTTGCCCTACCTACCAATGTTTTCAACCAACCCCTCTTGCACAGCCTGCTTCCTCTGTCCCGGCTGGAGCCCCATCTCCTCTCACCAGTACTACTGTGCCCTGCCCTGGGGTCTCCCTGCCTTCATTTGGGCTCCCCTGTCCACCCCTCCTATAGAAGCTGGAGGGGCTGACTTACAGGGCAAACCCGCAGTAGCCCTCCCAGCTTCATGCCCGTCCTGCAGGATGAGGTCTGGGTCCCTTAGCAGCTGCAAAGGGGCCTGCACATACTTGCAAGCTGCCCCTCTCACCACCCTTTCACCTCCCAGGAGACTCAGCAGCAAGTGCTTGCCCTGCCACACACCATCAGCTGCATGCCTCAGCCCTGGGCCTTGAACACCCCTGCTCCGCCTCCGCTGGAAGGACTCTTTCCTGTTTTTTAAGACTCCACCTGTTTAAGCTCCTCTGTGCCAGCCCCAGCCTCACCCCTGCCATCCTCAGGCCAAGGCTGCCTGGGTAGCTGTCCACACAGGTTACATGCCATACATGACCCTCGGTCAGGGCTTGTCTTTTATTTTGTTTGGTTTTTTTTTTTTGAGACAGAGTCTTGCTCTGTCACCCAGGCTGGAGTGCAGTGGCCAGATCTCAGCTCACTGCAAGCTCCGCCTCCCGGGTTCACGCCATTCTCCTGCCTCAGCCTCCCGAGTAGCTGGGACTACAGGCGCCCGCCACCTCGCCCGGCTAGTTGTTTTGTATTTTTTTAGTAGAGACGGGGTTTCACCGTGTTAGCCAGGATGGTCTCGATCTCCTGACCTCGTGATCCGCCTGTCTTGGCCTCCCAAAGTGCTGGGATTACAGGCGTGAGCCACCGCGCCCGGCCTCCGGCTGCTCATCTGAAACTCCTAAGAGCTTGGAGAAATGCTGACCAGGCCCTCACCTCTAAGAGATTCCACCGCCGCTGGCGTAGGGGCAGAGGGGCCGGCATCTAACATCAGTGTTTTGAAAAATCACTCCCAGATGGTTCTTGTGTGCGGCCGGGGTCCGGAACCTCTGTTTTGGAGCGCAGGCGAGGCCGCTGCACGAACAAGTGAACCAGTGAGGCTTTTGGATGCAGAACAAGCAAGAGACACAAAGATGTCAGGCCGCTGAGCGGAATCATTCTTCCAAGAAACCTCAGCTCCTTGCCTGTGGGCACATTCCTTAATTCTATGTCACACCAATTTAATTGGAAGAATTAACACCTGCCCCTCGGGCTTATAATCTATGACAAGACATTGGTGGTAAATCCACTTATTCTCCAATTAAATAATCTTTCCCGTGTTCACCCACTAACGGACTCACTCGGAGGTAACTGATCCGGTGTGGTACAGGCTGGGCAGTAGAAGAAGCTCCCTTCCAGCATAAACCCACTGTGTGCAGAGAGGCTGTAGTTCGTCCAGCTCATCCAAGCTACATTTAAAAGTCCATTCTCAGGATCATTGCAAGGCTTCTTTTTTCTTTCTCTTTTTGAGACAGGGTCTTGCTCTGTCGCCTAGGGTGGAGTGCAGTGGCTCCATCTCTGCTCGCTGCAGCTTCAACCTCCCTGGCTCAAGCGATCCTCCTGCCCCAGCCTCCTGAGTCGCTGGGACCACAGGTGTGCACCACCATACCTGGCTAATTTTTTCAGTTTTTTTTTTTTTTTTTGTAGAGATAGGGCCTTGCTATGTTGCCCAGGCTGATCTTGAACCCCTGGACTCAAGCCATTTGCCTGTCTCGGCCTCCCAAAGCATGGAATTACAGGCATGAGCCACATACCCGGCCAGGGCTTCTTCCTATGCAAATTCTCTGTGTGGATTCTCTGGTGTTGGTAACATGTTACCTAGACCTAAAGGTTTCTCTGAGTTCATTGCACTCACAGGGTGAATGTTCTCCCCTTGGGATTTCACGGGGTTTCTCTGCAGGATGAATCTCCTTGCGTGGACTGGGGTCTGAGCCCCTCCCAGGGCATTGCCCACCCACCACATCAGGGCTCTTTCCAGGGTGAAGTTTATGATGTTAGGTAAGGCAGGGCAGGCAAGAGAAGCAGGCCCCAGGCAGGGCGTGAGGCCCCCGCCGGCCTCGGGCTAGCCCTGGGAAGCAGGCTGGCTTGGAGAGCCCCCACTTCTCACTGCCCATTCAGTTGAGCTCCTAGAAGGGGAGGCTGAGGAGCTGGAGCTGGGGTGGGCAGAGTCCTCTCACCCCACCGCTGGTCCACCTAGAGCTGGGGGGCCAAGGAGGCCTCTATCAAGCTGGTCTCCTGGGAAGCCAGAGAGGAGGAGGTGAGGGCTCTGGAGCCTGTGGGTCTTGACTAGGAGTGAGGATTCTACTTTAGGGTCATCAGAAGCCAGTTCTGAGGGTCACATGAAAATGAAAATGGAAAGACACCATTTACAACATCAAAGGCATAAAGTAACTTGGAATCAATCCAACGAAACGTGTGGAGGATCTTCATGGGGAAAATTACAGTGTTTTTGGGAGACATTAAACAAGAGCCAAATAAATAGTGATGAAGCCCGAGCTCATGAGCTGCCTGACTTAGTATTTTTAAAATGTCAGCTCTCAATTGCACCTCACAGATGCAATGCAATTCCCGTCAAAATCCTAGCAAGACTTTTGTAAACTTGAAAAGCTAGGCCAGGCGTGGTGGCTCACATCTGTAATCACAACACTTCGGGAGGCCAAGGCAGGAGGATTGAACCCAGAATTTTGAGAATAGCCTGGGAACACAATGAGATCCTGTCTAAAAAAAAAAAAAAAAAAAAACTCGCTGTGCATGGTGGCACGTGCTGTAGTCCCAGCTCCTCGGGAGGCTGAGGCAGGAGGATCGCTTGGGCCTGGGAGGCTGAGGCTGCAGTGACCCATGATTGTGCTGGTGCACTCCAGCCTGGAAGACAGAGTGAGACCTTGTCTTTAAAAAACAAACAAAAAAAAGAAACTTAAAGAAAAAGGAAAGCTAATTCTAGAACTTACATGGAAATACCAATGGTAAGACACAGCTGAGGAACCAACGGAGAACACTGTAAGAGAGTTTTCTCAAGCAGACACAGCCCTTTGGAAGCAACAGTAACTGGGACAGCATGGTCTCAGCACAGGAGCAGCCCAGC